AAATACTTAAAATTGTTTATTATCCTTAGAAAATATTGTTAGTCATTTATAAAGATACAATTTTTTTTGCTTTATTTTTCTTTGCTGGTATTTCAGTATTTTCAGAGGCATCAGGCACCCCGTGAACAGAACCCTTCCCTTGAAGTTTCTCCGACTGTATGCAAATAAGTAACTGAAACTGACAGTGACACCACAGTATCCTTCGCATCCTCCATCCTTCGCAGCATGGGTCAATGGCAAACTGCAGGCATCAGCAGGAGGCTGGGCAAATTTGCATTCATAAAGCAGAAGCGCCCAGTTGGCCCATTTGTATGCAAAGTTAAGTATTAATGGATGGCTAAGGGATGAGAAATGAGGGATGGGGGGGTAAGTGAAAGTAAACACCGGCTAAGAGCGTGCAGGTAAATGCCCCAAATTAAAACAATGAGCTGAAACAGAAGCTCGGGATTTGAGGTGCTGATGGTAATTAACTTGGATGAAGCGTATAATAAGTCGGTTACAAACTCGAGTAGAGGTCCGCCAGAGAAATGTGCTGACATCAAAGAAGCATAATTTCTTCATTTGGCGAAATGGCGCCGAGTTAATTGGTGCCCGGAGTTCTCGAACCAAACAAAGGAGTTTAATTAATTTGGCAAAAATAAAGTCGGGGCCCTGGTTTTTCGGCCAGGTTCCGAAAGTCAAAGTCAATGTGGAAATACAATTTCACACTTGGCCTGGCAGCGCACACACGGCGTATGAATGATTTCGCTAGGCTTCCATTTCGGATTTCATTTTCCATATGGACTTCTTATTCCGGCCTTTCCCTAATTAATTGACTTGCAGGCCTGTAGCTGTGTGCTCTTCACCCACTCTACCGTACTTGCAGTCTGAATATAATCCCCCAGTCGAAAATAATGAAATTTATTATTTACTTTCACTTGGCCAGCATTCTCATGCGGCTGTTGAATCCTCCGTCGTTCAGCCTCTGTTACATAAGGATTTTTTTGCGAGTTCATAATTTTTTGTTAACTTGTATATGAGCTGGATTTTTTTCTGTTTTTTGCTCCTGCTGGTCCACAACATATGTCCGGGTATTTAAGTTCTTAACGACTGTGTGAATGCACACCGATGCAGGCGCACAATTGAGTCGAACTGAATGCGATTTGCGTAAGCTGTCGTTTGGACAATGGCATTACGCATACGCCCCACTGGCAACCATTTGCTTTAAGCAGTCAGAGGATCAGCAGGAAGCACAAAGTACCAATTGTTCTCTGTATTTTTTTTATTGCAAATTAATTAACTCTTATTCCAGTTCAGCTACTCCTGGTTTTCAAGGGTTTTAATAACAAGGATGAAACTTTTTATGCTAATTTTTTTTACTATTTGTTTTATGTTTTTGCACCATTTTCCTTACCTACCTTAAGGGTTTACTCCAATATTTATTTTAAATAAAGTTTATTAAACTTTATTTGGTTTATCTGTTTTTTTAAACTCTCACAGCTTTATTTATTTTACCAAATTGTTGCTGCCACTTTCACAGACTTGTCATAAATCTTTTTGATCACTTCACTAAACACGCGATCTTTGGTTCGATGAGATCGGGTTTATTTTTTAAAGTATTTTTTTGGGATTATCTTGATGAACACACAACCACGCCGCGACGCGTTTCAGAACGAACTGTAAACCGCTGCTCGACATCGGAACTTCAGCCCTAAAGTCGGCTTCGTCCGCTCGGAAATTCACCACGCCCCGAAACGAACCAGAAAAGCCGAGCACTACGACTTCGAACCGAAGCATCCATTGTGGGTCTGTGGACCAGCAGCTGAGCGACGGAGAAAGTGAAAGCCGTCACACTGGCCGCTATTGAGGCAGGTTAGTGCCCGTTCTCACGCTCTCTCTTAACTAGAGAGAGAACGACTTCCAGCGATGTTTCTGATTAGACTGGAAACGATTCTGATAAGGCAAACTTTGTCAGTTGAAAGAAAACTGTTGCATGCAACTTCGCTGAAAAAATTTATTAGAATTAGAAAATTTATTTTTATGTACCTACTTTAATTTTGATAAAATATTTGAATACCTTTTTTAAACATTATTTTTTCAAATAAATAAGATAGGTAGATTAATTGAAATTTAGGAAATTAATTTTCTGTTATGTTTAAGTAAGATTTTTAAATATTGGGAGCACTTTAAAAAAGTTCATGGTTCAATTTAAATTTGTGCTCATTTGTTTTAGTGTGAACTTAAGGATGTCATTTTTTACCCTTTCAGAGAGTATTAAAAAATTTATTTATAAATTTTCTTCTTTCTATCAATTTTAAGTATTTCGTTTATTCCCAAATTTGACTTAAAAATCATAGAAAATATTAGAATTTGATTTGATTTGAAGCCTACCACATTTCGATGTTTTTCTCTCCGCATCCTGGACATGCGCAGCGGAAAGGAGCCTTCTCACTCAGCTGTTTGCCAATGTCCGGCTTTCTTCTTCCAGCGTGGTGAGTTCGGCTTCGGAAAGGCACTGATAAGAGTTACTGATAAGAATACATTACGGATGCAGCTGCATCCGCCCCGAAAAGCAACACGTACCGCATCTTTCATAAATGAAAAGCAATTGCATAAGAGTTTCATCGTCGCAATTTGCGGTCTCAGCGGATGGAAGAGGGGTGATTTTCAGGGGGTTGAGAATAGGGGAAGGGGAACCGCAAAATGCGCAACGCTGCAGACGCAATTAATGCGCACCGTTTTACAATTAGCGACCTGGCCCAATTATGCAGCTGCCACCAGTCGCCCCATTAGACCCCCACCGTCCCCATCCCCCTTTCACCCAGGAAACAACCTCCGCCGTGAATCTTGGTCGTTGCTTTTGTCACTGTTAATAGGAAATTCATGGCCGCCGGTCGCCGTTCTCCGTAGTTTTTTTGCAGGGCACGTGGATGGGCATGGGTTGGTTTTTCGGGTGACTGGGGCTGCCTTTTAATTATGATAATTACATTGTTGTCGTTCTCATTCGCTGACAGCAGCTGGGCCGCGATCTTTGGCGCTGGACAAAAACGCTCCCCTAAATATTCCCCAGTTCATGGGAGTTAATGTTGTATGCAAGTTGCACATCCCATCCTGGGTCTGCACCAAGGCAAACCAAATTAGGCTTCCAGTTTACGGGAGGATGTAAAAATGAAAGGCCCAGCTGGGCCAAATTAAATTTGACGAGAAAACTGAATTTTAATAAATTTCTATCAAGTAAAAAAACAAAATGTTTTATTTCTCATAAAAAATATAAAGGTGTATTTATAGTTAAGTTATTATAAATAATAATGTTTTTATTATGTAGTAACCGATATAAGTATCCAAATCATTTTACAGTACACTTTTTTTATTTTTATTAAATAATTTTTTTATTTGCTTATACTTTGGTTAAGAGGGAATTACAAATTGCCTATAGCCTTGATTTTTATTGTAAAATACTGAATTTTAATATAATAATTAAAATATTTGTAAGATACTGACAATTCCAATACTTTACATTGCGAAACAAAAAAATTGTTTTTGAAAATATTGACATTAAACGCGCGCACATAAAATTAATAATTGAATTAAAATTGTAAAAGCTTCTCCTCTCAGGGCAGTAATATTCTGAATTTTCGGCTAATTGAACCAATAACGATATTATTTCTCCCCAACCTTAGCGCTTTGTAATTTTGTTTCCGCTGCAGCGGAGGGTGCAATAGTCAATGCTCACCATTGGATGACATTCTCATCCGCCCTGCAACTTGCGGCATACGCCGTAATTGGGTTATGGCATCCACAATCCGAACATGGAAGCATTTCCGGAGCGAGGCGACGGATTTTGCATGCAATAAATGGGAGACACTGTGCGACAATGTCGCTGGGAAAATTGTTGCAAAAATGCAACAATTAAGACCTTAGATTGTCCTCGAACAGCGAGCTGCGATGCATCTAAATGCGCATATATGCGATGGCTGTTGGCTGAGGGTATTTTCCCCGCTTTTCCCGCCGCTTTTCCGTATTTTGTGTGTTTGGCCCGCTGCCATTTCGACGTGCATGCAACAATTTATGGGGCTGTCAACAATATGGCAACATGTTTTTTGCTCGCCTGCGTCTGGACATGCTAATTGCACCATGCACCATGTGGAAATATCAAGTAAGTCCCGGGCCATCGTTGAAATTTTTACGAAGCGAATAATTTAATGCGCCATAAATTCGCATGTACGCTTGTAAAATTGACAGCGAGTGGGCCATAAATTCAGTAGCATACTTTTTAGCACACGAATTTTTGAGCGACAAAAACCGCTGACAAGAGCAGCAATGCAAAGTGAGCCAAATGAGAATACAGATTTATGTGTCGGTTTTATATTAATTATAAAAGCGGCAAAGCAACGAGCGCTTTGTGCTAACTGCTCACCTGAAACTGTGACATTTACATTTGTACTTTTATAATTCCGCATTTCAGTTGCCATTGTTGAAATCAGCATGGAGTGCAAATTGTTGCACAACAAAGTCGCGAATTTCAAAAACTTTTTCATTTAGCCTTCAAAAGTTATTTATATTTTCTCCACATTACTATACTGATACCCTGTACAAGGCTCGGTATATTGCGTTTGAGCAAAGAATGGGGCAGTTAGAAAATATTATGTTTGTTTCTAAAAAGCTTATATTGTTTTAAGCATTTTAAAAATCCATACAAGTAAAAAAAAAATGTAATAAAAAAATTAATTTAGTAAAGATAATATTTTCCCATTTAAATCAGAATTCTCTGTTCAATATCTAATGGTATTTAATACCCTCCTCTATTTCCTGGCATTTAATTGAAGTTTCAGTACCCATTTGATGCCTGAATGGGAAGCCTTAGTTCATCGACAGGTGGCAACAATAGGCCTAATTCCTAATTGTTGTGGCCACGCAAGCTTAATTACATAATTGGTCAATCGCACCAATAGAGGAGCCATCACCAAATAGTATTTAAACGAAGAGCTTCCCTCAATTTAAGGCTAAAAAATCGAGGAACCATGAGGCAAGTCACAGTCGACAGTCTGGAATTTTTCAAGAGCCACTGGACAGCCTGGCGGCTCCTGGGAGTGGCCCATATTCGTGTGGAGTCCTGGAGAAACCTCTACATGACCTACAGTATCGTACTAAATCTCCTTGTGACCCTGTGCTATCCATTTCATCTGGGCATGTCGCTCTTTCAAAACCGTACCCTCACCGAGGATATTCTCAACCTGACCACCTTTGCTACCTGTACCGCCTGCTCGGTGAAGTGCCTGCTGTATGCCTACAACATCAAGGATGTGCTGGAAATGGAGAGACTTTTGAGGCTGCTGGATGACCGGGTAGTCGGTCCGGAACAAAGAGGCATCTACGGACAGGTGCGGGTGCAGCTGCGGAATGTCCTGTACATTTTCATCGGCATCTACATGCCCTGCGCCCTGTTCGCCGAGCTCTCCTTTCTGTTCAAGGAACAGCGCGGCCTCATGTATCCCGCCTGGTTTCCCTTCGACTGGCTAAACTCAACCAGAAACTACTATATAGCGAATGTCTATCAGATCGTGGGCATATCCTTTCAACTGCTGCAGAACTATGTGAGTGACTGCTTTCCAGCGGTGGTCCTGTGTCTGATCTCCTCGCACATCAAAATGTTGTACAAGAGATTCGAGGAGGTGGGTGTAAATCCAGCTAGAAATGCGGAGAAGGAACTAGAGGCCTGCATCACGGATCACAAGCACATACTAGAGTGAGTTCTTATTTTTTGGAATTTTTTTTTAAATTAAAAACATTTTTTCAGACTTTTCCGTCGGGTTGAAGCCTTCATATCCTTACCCATGCTAATTCAATTTGCGGTAACCGCTTTAAATGTCTGTATCGGCATTGCCGCCCTGGTTTTTTTCGTCACTGAGCCCATGGCACGGATGTATTTCATCTTCTACTCGTTGGCCATGCCTCTGCAGATCTTTCCATCCTGCTACTTTGGCACCGACAACGAATACTGGTTTGGACGGCTCCATTACGCGGCCTTCAGTTGCAATTGGCACACCCAAAACAGGAGTTTTAAGCGGAAAATGATGCTGTTCGTTGAGCAATCCTTGAAGAAGTGCACCGCTGTGGCTGGCGGCATGATGAGAGTACATTTGGATACCTTTTTTTCCACCCTGAAAGGTGCATACTCCCTGTTCACCATCATCATACGAATGAGAAAGTGAGCAGCCGTTGAAAATTAGTGGGTTTTTTCAAAAGATACATATATTTAAATGTTTAATTTTTTGTAAATCTAAAATATATGGTACGGAAAACAGAAAATAAAAACCAGTAATTTTACTATTTTTATTAATATTAAAATTATTAATATTAAAAGCAATAAATAAAAATAGATTGTATTTTTTTTTAAATATTTTAACTATTTTTCAAAATTTTTAGAAATTATAATATACTTTTTTAGGTTTCCTTTATATCCTAAAAGCTGTAAAGTAGTTGAATAGGTGAACTTTTGCCTTAAATAGAATTGGCAGCCTGGGAAGCCGCAGGTGATTTCAATTACATTATAATGACATTATTAGAGGCCATAACGCGGACCCCAGAATTCTGTATAAAAGAAGAGTGACTCGCTCAATGTCAAAGTTATTGCGAATTCGGCATGTCTGCCATCGATAGCTTAAGCTATTTTCAAAGCCATCGATTTGTGCTGGAAATACTCTTCTTTGATCCCGACAAACTGGAATCCGGCAGGAAGTTATACTCCTTTGGCACCATTGCAGTCAGTCTGCTTTTCACCTTCGGATATCCCTTTCACCTGGGAATGAAGCTATTCCGGAATGAAACAAAGGACCTGGATATGATAAACGTGGCCACATTCCTACCATGTTTGGGTTCGTCTTTAAAATTCCTTATATATGCTTTTAACTACAGAAAGGTACGACGAATGAAGGAATTGCTAAGATTGCTAGATGAGCGAGTTATTGGATTGAATCAGAGGAGTATTTATGCCGAAGTTAGGTGGCATTTGCGTTTAATACTGTGCTTATTCATTGGAGTCTACACCCCCTGTGGTTTATCCGCCGTGTTGATGTTTCTGTTTGCAGAAGATTGGCGTCTTATGTTTCCCGGCTGGTTTCCCTTTGACTGGCGAAGTTCTCTATGGAACTATTGCCTAGCTTTTGGATATCAAACGACCGGCCTCTCGTATCAATTGCTTCAAAATTACATAAGCGATTGCTTTCCGTCGGTGGTTTTATGTCTCATCACGTCTCACATTAAAATGTTGTACTGTCGGTTGGAGGAAATCGGACAGAATTCACTGGAGGATGCGGAAAAAGAGCTGGAAAGGTGCATTACGGATCATAAGAATTTGCTCGAGTGAGATGGTTAAAATATTTAATATAAAATATATTTAAATACATAATTTTCATTAATAGACTTTTTCAGATCACAGAGGCCTTTATGTCGCTGCCCATGGCTCTACAATTCTCCATTAGCGCCTTTACCAGCTGCTTTGGGATCGCAGCACTCTTCTTTTTTGCCAACGGGCCCATGGTTAGGGGCTATTACATAACCTATTTCGTGGCCATGATCCTACAAATCTTTCCGTGCTGCTACTTTGGAACTGATTCGGAGTTCTGGTTCGGCCGCTTGCACTATGCTGCCTTCAGCTGTGACTGGATAGGTCGGGAGAGAACCTTCAAGCGGAAGCTCATGCTGTTTGTGGAAAGGTCCTTGAAGAGGAACAAGATCATGGCGGGCGGAATGATGCCCATTTCGGTGGGCACCTTCTTTGCTACCCTGAAGTTTGCCTACTCACTGTTCATGATAATTCTACAGAGGAATTAATTTTATAAGTTATTCCGATTTTTTTTTGATTTTATAATACTAGTGGGATTTATGCTTTCAAATGTATAAAAAAACCACAATTGTATTTAATTTACGCTTTTAAATATTTTACGTGTACTTCTTTATTTCATCGAGTACAATGGCCGCTTCCCTAAGGATCTAATCAATAGCATTTAAGGCCGGAAGTCATTTTCTGTGTTTGCATACAAAATGGCGGAAACGTTACTTCCGTCGCTGCAAAAAACAGGTCACAAAAAATGGCAAAAAATTCAAAACGTTTAGAAAAAACGTGGCAACTAATAACGCGACCTTTTCAATGGTTTTTATGACTTTGTCTGCCCTTTTTATTTTGCTGGTGTGCACTAGTTTATTAAGTATACGCCACGTGTGTTGGACTGGACGTTCTGCTAATTGAATCACTCAGCGAAATTTGCATAAGACAGTTAACGAACAAATCAATTGCTCAACCGGGATAACAAGCCTTGAGCCGAATGCCATTGCCCGCTTATTTATTTGCACAAGCGATAAGACATTAAAAGACTTTGCCTTCCATTGGCATCCGAATACGAATTCGAATCGGAGTCCGTAGTCCGTAATGCGCTTAAGTCGGCACAAAGTCCATGTTGGATCTGCAAAGTGAACATTGTAAAACGGAAGCCAAAAAGGGACCCGCCGTCTAAAATTTATAGCTGGCAAAAACTAAAGAGCATCCTGGGACATCCTGGTCAATCCCGATGAGCGCGTGTGTGTGTGGGAGTAACTTTGTGTTCCAATCGATTTGATGACCATGTAGCCGGGGCATCCAAAGTTGATTTGAATTTATTACAGAACGCATTTACTTCTGTTTGCCGCCTAATTCCCCAAGCCGAGCACGTACTGGAGGTCCCTGTTTCAGTCCCAGTCCCAGTTTGCCGACCAGGACATGCTTAATTTTTAATCAAAACAAACAACAACTCAAACTGCCAAAGCCGTGTTGTTTAAGTTTCTCCGCACTGGATCTTTGTACATTAAGCAGACTCAGCTGTTTGCCGTCAGCCGGAAATTGTATTTGGTCACTTGGTTCATTTCGTCAAGACCTCGTCATCGCCATCATCATTTTCCGTGCTCATCGTTTTCCCTTCCCCATCCCCTTCCCCAAAAACCCCGAACTCAACCAACTGGAGTCTGCAAGTCAGGAACGCGGTTACTTGAAAACTCCATTGCACTTGGGGGAGATGATTTAAGTTAGTTGGCCAGACGTGTGCACTGGAAAAACAGGAGTTATCATTATAATTTATTAGATATTTTAAAACAAAATATAACTCTATAGTCGAGTATCTTGACTATCAAATATGAGTTACTCTGATGAATGAGTGAGAGAGAGATAGAGATATGCAAGCAGCAAAGCAAACATTAGCTTGCAAGTGGCGCCATGTATCGGAAAATGCATTAATTGCTTCTAACTTTTTAATGAATGGTGTGATTTTAAAATTTTCTTTTAAATTTTTATTAATTTTTTTTTATTAATTAGGTATTAATAAGCAATTCAAAATGTCAATTCTATCAAATCCGTAAAGATATGGGAACCAGGAATTATTTAGGGTCTTTTAAGGTCTAGTCATTCTTTATTATTATTTAATTTGAAAGGGGTTTTTCTTTTTTTGGTTTTTCTCCATTCAATGGCCAGCTGGTTTCTGTCAGTGCACAACACTCAGCTGAAGTGGCTCATCGGCCACTTCCCCCGCCTGAATGTAATTTGTTGCTAAGCAGAATGTTAATACGGTTGCAACAGCAAGTGGCTGTTGCCGTCGTTGCTGTGACAGCCACAAGTAGCCAACGGATGAGGCCGAGAATAGGGAGAGTAAGGATGCCCCTGCTGATGAGGATTGAGGATTGCTTCGTCCTCGAGCATCAAGTGGTTACGTACGTGGGCCACTCGAACCTAAGAACCACAGAACCCAACAGGTGCGGGCAAGTAAATGCTCCCCTTGCCACATTTAATATTTGTTTGCCGACTTTATATTTAATTAGCAACAATCACTGGCCGGAGGAGAAAACGAAACCCAGTGAAACTAAATCCAAACAGCCAGTGGCCTTAACTCGAAATTAATAGTTTCCACATTCGAGTGAGCAGGCCAAGAAGTTTCAAATTTTCCAAAGTAAATCAAAAGAAAAATGGCGAAAACTATCTCGGCGAAAGTTTTGTCAATGGCTTAACTTGGCCAGCAGCCACATGCGACCGGAGGATGGGCCAAAAGGACATCTGCAGCGCGGTGTACTCAAGTAAATTACAAGCTTTCTTAGTCCTGGCATATTTAACCACAGCTATGTTGGCGCAAGTTTTATCTGACACTTAAAGGAAATATTTGAAATCATTGGGGGAGAACAATTTAAATTTTATAATCAAAATTAAACTTATTATATTTATTAAAAACATGGGAATTAAAAGAAAACCCTTTGGCGAATATTTTCTCTCAAATATAATATAATAATTTATAGAATATTTCGTAGTATAAAATAAATTTAAAATTAAATATTTGAAAAATAATAAACCCATTTAATAGGTATTTAACTTCTGTAGCCTTTTATTTATAAAAATAACATATGATTTTGTTGGTAAAACTTTGAATTTTGAAGTCCTACGATTACCCATTCTTCGAGTGCACCAAAAAACATGGATGGTGGCAAAAACAGGATCCATATGGTCCCATATAAAGAGGGAAATTTTACAACCGGCATAAGAAAGTCACTTAACGTGGGCAATGGCACATTAAGTGAGCGATGAGGGGGTGATGTGGCGAGTGAAAGTTAATTTTGGTCGGGAAATGTGAGCCGGAGAAAATGCGCAGAGGCAGGGGCAGTGCCAGATCCAGAGGATTGTGCAAAATTTGAGGATGTGGATATATATTTTTGGAATGGAGAGTGAGCGGCAGGCGTCAGTAAAAACATTTTGCCTAAACTATGCCATTAACATACAAAACTTTCACAGCAGCCGGCCTGCGAGTAACACTAGCCCTCTCTTTCTAGGCCCGATAGCCCCCTCTCTTTCTAGGCCCTGTAGCCCCCTCTCTTTCTCGGCGAAGCACGTAAATACTTGCCCCGAAACTTGCTCGAATTAACAACAAAAAGTTCGTCCTTGTTGTGTGACGGAAAACTTGGATAGAATAACACAAGACTGCCGCTGGCAAGTGACAATAACACAACAGGAACTATGTAGGATTTGAGTGCCAGTGCGAGGGAGATGGCAGGAGGCGGGTGTGAGCGAGACAGATGTTTCGTCAGCAGGAGTTATAGAGGGTTACTCGGTTTCGGGAAGGGATTCTTTCGGGGGGCCCAGTGCCAAATGTCAAGCAATTTGCGGTCTCCTAAGCCAAATCTCCCCAACCCTTTGGAGTAGGATCTCCAGAGATGGCCCACCCATTTCTCCATTTAAAGGCCTTTGGCCAAAGTATTTATAGCTCAAAACTTTATGACTACCAGGGCCATAAAAAGCAAAGCTACCCCCCGCCCCTCAAGCATAATTGCCGCTAAAGAGTGTTTGGCGTCCGATGTGGATTGTAGACCAACTATAACTCATTACGGCTAATGAGCGTTATTTGTGCCCTAAACGCCACGCCCACCCAGAAAACTTCCAAGAGGCGAGGAGAGACGAAAGGTCGAAAATTAGTTTGACTTGTGACACAAGCTCGCAAATTCACAAAGACGAGCGGATTTTAACTCTGCCGAAGGGATTACGTTTAATTGACAGCGACAACAAGTGACAGACACTGTCGTCTGGGTGCGACAGAGACGGGGAGAAGGGGAGAGAAAGAGATGGCCGGAACTGATAGAAAGGGACAGCAGAATCGTGTTCGAGCTCAGACTTTTTAGTCTCAGTTTGGACACTCGAGCAAAACGGTTTCCATTTACTATTAGAAAGCTTAAAATATTAATTTGTGTTTATTTATTCCCATTAAACAGATAAAAAAAATTAAATTATTATATATTTTATTCTTTGTTTTATATTCATAGATGCAAACTCCCAAAAAAAACTATAAATATGAATAAGAAAATGAATGCGATTTGATCAATAGCCTTGCCATGGTCGTACGATATTTTCGATCCACTTCGTATAGTATATGACATTCGTAAAGACCGACCACTGTTTGCACTTACTATCTCCATAGCTAACTAGTCCAACCTGCATAGTCCGGAGTCCTCTGTCTAACGAAAAAGTAACGGAAACTGGACCTCCGGAGTCTCCCCTACAAACATGTGAGTCGCGGTCTCCGGCACAAATATGCGACATATCCACTTTGTGCTTATAGAGTTTGGAGCAATACGTGCGATCCGCTTGCGTCAAGGTTGCGATCTTCAGAACGTTGCTTTCGGATCCGTATTCCGTTGCACCCCAACCAGTGACAGTTAGGTATTGGGTATGGGGCAAGGGATCATAGTTCAGGGGCAGGCAAATCGGTCGAATGAAGTCTAAATGGTGCAGTATGTAATAAGGGGGATTTTTAAAGAAAATATCAGCTATATTACCTGTGTATTGCACCGGCCACCTCAGTCGAAACAAAGCTATATCATTCCGGTCGAGTTCAACATAATTTGGGTGTCTTATTTGATCTTCGACGGGAATTCCAATCGCCTGTGGTATGCAACCTTTAGTAGAGCAATCAGTGACGGTTGACCTGTCGAACTCCCCTAGGTATACACTGTATTCAGATGATATGGACACATAACAAATAACAAAATGGTACAACCATAATGGATTTTGTATAATATTACATACATGGGGTTTTTACTTGTACAATGTCCAGCAGTAAGCACAAATCCTGAAAATAGTAAGTTTTGTATTTAAATACTAATTTTCTACTTTTTAATTGACAATACTTACGGTTTGTGATGAGCGAACCACCACAGACAATGCCGCTTAGTATCAAGGCCATCCATGGGTTTCCGAACATGTTGGCCGTTTCACCGCCAATGATCCTGTATTGCGGACCATTCGCATAGCCACAATTGGATTCCAGGAATGAAATAGGAGGTTGCCCATTTCCAATATTAGCCCAAGAGAGCAGGCTAATAGCTGCGACGATCCTCATGCTTCTGTCCAGAATAACTGACTTGTCTTTTAATGCATTGCAATATTGAGTTTAAGAAGCATCTGACAGAATAATGAATTTTGAAGAATTTCATTTTACAGCCCAAGAGCATTTCAGGAAAACTAATTAACGAATATTTATTTAATGTGGAATTACGATAATTATGTAGCGGCACGATTTAGTTCTTTTTCGTTAAAACTTAGTGACGATCGCACCTTGAACAGCTGCTTTGTCCAAAGAATGAAAAAGAGTTGTAAGAGAAATATATATTTTTTCGAAAATAATCTTTATTGTTACAATGGAAAAGCTGGTAATAAAATTATTTCAGAATGAAAAGCGGATGTATTAAAAAAATATTTTTTAGAATATCTTCTGTTTTTTTTTAATTTTAAATAATTACGCAAACTCCCAAAAACAAAAATATAATTAATAATAAAGTTTTAACTTAACCCTACGCAGCGCAAGAATATTTCAGCCGAGCGCCACGCCCCCTCTAACGCCCACAATCGGCCACTAACGATTTTAAAATGTGCCCACACCTTTAAAGATTCCCGAGAAGTATAAATGCAATTTTTTTTTGTATATTTTTACCTATCGAAAATGTATTACGTGCCTTTTGCAATCAATAATATCATTGAAAAGGGTTCCCATAAATAGAAATCTTAGTTTTACCAGGGTTGCACAAAACGCAATTTCTGGGACCACGACTTTTTACTTATTTCGCCTCGAACAGCTGAAATTGCAAACAGACGCAGCTGGAAAGATCCTAAAATCAAGAAGAATGTTCAAAAAACGTTTTAGGGAAGTATAAAAAATATATTAGGACCTCCAACCATAATTCTGACATTATTTTGTTTCCAATTATTAATCAGGTTTTAATCATCAAAGAAGATTGTTAATACGATTATGAGAATTCCTGGGATTTGGTCTTTGCCTACGTCGTACGGTATCTACGATCCAGTTCATGTGATGCATTACATTCGTAAAGACCGACCACTGTGTGCACTCTGTATCGCCATAGCTGACAATTCCCAACTGAACAACCCGGTTTATACCGTTCACCCTAAAATTGCTGGAGACTGGACCGCCAGAGTCCCCACGGCAAACATGCGAATCGTAGTCTCCGGCACAAATATGCGACATATCTACTCGACCGTAGATAGCGGAGCAATACGAGCGATCAGCCTGCGTTAGAGTGGTGGTCTTCAAAACGTTACTTCCGGGTGTATTTTCTGTTTCGCCCCAGCCAGTGGCTGTTAGGACTCTGGTTTGGGGCAGGAGATTATAGTTGGTCACCAGGCAAATCGGTTTGATGTAGTCTATATGGTATAAAATATAATTAGGGAGCTTCTCATAGAAAAGGTCAGTTCCATTACCCGTATACTGCACCGTCCTGGCCAGTCGAAACAGAGCAATATCATCCCGGGAGTGATGCACATATCTTGGGTGCGCTATCTTGGCATCGACTGGAATACCAATGGCTCTCGGCAAGCAAGCTCTTCCGGAACAATCCGTTCTGGTTGATCTATCAAACTCCCCTAGGAAAGCTATACTGTAACCAGGTGATAAGGTCATCTTATATCGTTAAAGGATATATTTAAAAAGTACTCACGTCGGGCTGTTCCTTATGCAATGAGCAGCAGTGAGCACAAAACCTGGAAATAATAATATAAATAAATATAATATAATAAATTCTTCAAATTATTCAGTTTTAAATAAAAATACTTACGGTTTGTGATAAGCGTACCGCCACACGAAATGCTGCTTTGAATCAGGACCATCCATGGGTTTCCAAACATGTTCGCTGTCTCGCCGCCGATTATCCTCGATCTCCAACGACGCGATCCCGCGACCGAAGTGCCACAATTCGGATCCAGGAATGATAGAGTTGATTGGCCATCTCCGAGACAAACCCAAGCGAGCAGGGCTACAATAGCGACGACGTTCTTCATGCTTATGTCCGGAATAACTGACTTGCATGCCCAGGGCCTGGGCTTTTATTGCATTGCAATATTGAATGATAAGCAGCCTCCGAATGGTTTTCCAAGAATTTCATTTTACACCGCATCATCATTTCGGGAATACTGTCAAGCAAATTTTGATTTATTGTGTAATGAGAAAAATTATTGGGAATATTAACATTAGAAATTCCTAATCAATTCTATCAGAAAAATGTAAACATGACGGTAACATTTTATTTAAATTTAAATACCTTTAAATCGAAAATTAAAGGTTGAGAATTATATTATTTCTTGTATTTGATGAATGTATGCGTACATTTTTTTTTTATAAATTAGAAAAAATTTAAAAATGGAAAAAAAATATTCGTAAAACGTAAAAAATGAAATTTATTTGCCTTCCAAATAGTTTTTTGAGTGTACTTTGAATTTGGTTGCTTGAAAATAAAGTTAGGCCTGTATTTCTTGATTTAGCTGATTTGCAATCTGATTTTCTATCGAAAGGCTATGCGTTTTTCGAATGAACTGATAACCGTGAATATTGATATTCGCCCATTATCATTAAATTAATTATTTTACATCTTATTCAAGAAAAGTCTTTGCACTCACAAACTAAATTTCCTGCTGAAACGTTTGGAAAATACCCAACCGCGAAAATTAAAATCAAGCCACCCGCCGAGCACCCAAAAGCCCAGAATGAAAATGGACCTACAACTGCGAGTTAAACGATCACCATAAATCCCTTTGCTGAATGAGCTGGTTACGAGCAGTCCTGCAGTTGCGTTTAATCACAGGTAACACACCGCCGTTTAAATGCAAATGATGCGGCGGCAATAAACGTGGCCAAGAGGCAATCCGCCCCACATATGCGGAAAATGTGAATGGAAACGCGAATAAACAGAAAGAACGTGTGTAACCAAGGCATCGCGAGTACAGAGAGAGAAAATCTTGGTGGATTTAGCAAAGTTATTAATTTCTTAAAATCTTCCGTAATACATGAAATTTAAATGTGATCAAATTTTATATTCATCAAAAATATTTTATGTATGATATACCTACACTAATTTAATTTCATTCTCTTTTTAAGAGTCTTTTAAAATATTAAAATAAATACAGCACTTGATGAAATTTTTTATAATTGTTTTATTAATAAAAATTCATCAATAAATAATTACTGTAATGAATGATAAATTAAATTAAATCAAAATTCTCATTTTAATCTTTAATCTTAAAATATTCTTAATTTATTGAAGTGAATTGTCCCATAAAAGTGATATTTTCTTTCGGTGCACCTTGTTATGGCAGGCTCAGTGGGCGTGGGTTTGCCGGGGGCGTGGTCGCGACACGTGCTGCTCTCGATTGGCGGAGTTCGGCGGGCAGGCGGCGGGACAATTGAAATTTTTAATGCCGCCGAATGGCAATGACAATAATGAGCACGATGACGAGTGTTTGGGGGGAAGGCAGTTTCGGTGGCGGTGGCAATGGCAACAATTATGCTGATGACGTGTGTACTACACCCATACCCTTAATGGGCCTGATCCGATTGCTTACTCTCCTTCGGAAAACAAACAAACAGTCGCGTGGTGTTTTTTTATGGCTTTGCCTGACTGATAACGGGTGATTAAATGTATTTTTAAATGGGTTTTAATGCGATTTTCAGTTTAATGAGCCGTTTCATAGCCAGCTTTCTAGCTCTGCTTGGCAATTTTTTGTGCATGCCTTAATTTATTTAGCTAACCGGCTTGCCAGGCAAAAGGAAAGCACATTAAGGCAGCTAGAAAATACCACAAAAGCTTTGGATATGTTTATGGTGAACAAAAATGAATAGAAATTCCAGTTTGCCACATGGCCACAAAGGTCAGCAAACTTGCCAAATATGCAAGACTTCACTTTGTGTGGCTAACAAACAAAATATGGAGCAACCATTTTTATTCTTTTGCATTTTTACTTAGGTCTCGTAGTAACAAAAGGTCGACTTTCTATGCATGTGTACAATTTGTTAAATGTACATTTTTCGTTCAGTAGAACTTTGAACCTTAGCCTGCACTTCCAAATGCATACAAATGGTTGAACATAATCGGCTTTGGATTTATTCGTTTTCTAGATTTGGATTTTGTTTTAAATTGAGACAATCTAAACTTTTAAATGCAATTGGTAATGCTGAACTTCTCTTTCTTCGTCGAAGTATTGCTTACATTTTCATGACTTTCTAAAACATTTCTCTTTAAAGTAATTTATCCACATACTCCAAAATTTAAGGCATACATCCATTTCGACCTTGACATGTTTTGGTTTAGTGACTCGCTCACGTCCGAACAGATAAACATTTGTTAAAATGACATAAAATTACACGAATGTCGGCTGACAAGGGGCAATTTAAAACTAATTTCGCGATCATCAAATGCCACCACAGCCAAGGCAGATGATATAATTGCACAGATATAAAGATAAAAGCCACCACAGCTGAAAAAAAACATTTCTAAAATTTTAAGTTAAATATTATAAGAACCGCAGCTATATAAATTACCTCAAAAGAGAGCTATATTTCTGAATACCTATTTCATAAGGGTAGGAACTTTCCTATAAAGCATTGACACTCTTTTTTACACTTCATTAAATGCAATCAATCATAAATTATTCACACTGATGGCCTGAATAACAGGGTGTGGCCCAGTAAAAGTAATTGAATTGCAGGAATTAGATAATCGATTCTATTGAGGCTGAGGCAGTTGTCTCTTATTGTGCGAGTGCTTTTGTTTGCGTCCAGCAAACCCCTCCAAGTAAACGCCCCACCAATGCCGTAACCCAAAGCAAACCCGAGACCAACTACACGTAACCCAAGACCCAGAGTCTGTTGATGTTTAAGGTCATTGCCGGCTGTGATTAAAAACTGCGTGCTGTAAAATAAACTTGAAACGTAATGTTCGGGTGTGCACTTGGCGGCATCCACGAGATTGGCATAATTGCAACCGCAGAAGTATAAAAAAAAAACAAGTCAAAAAGACAAGAAGCAGCTGCTTCTCGGCAGAGTGCGAAATTAACATGAGACTTGGCACAATTTCCGCTTTGATTTATCTGTAAAATCTGTAAAATCAGCATTTATGGGTATAATATACATTGTATATACCATAGCCTCTAAGAAAAATTAAAAAGAAAAATAACTAATTACGGGACCTTTTTTTATACATTTTTTAGTTCACGTTAATCTCTGTTTCGCAATATTCCACGAATTGTGTGAATCACATAAACTTATCAAAATATTTGTTTTCAAATATATATATAAGCGTAAATTAATCTATACAATAATTAATCTGTGCACATATTTTTTAAGACCAAATGAAAATATGTCGTAAAAAAATACAAAAAATAAATATAAATATTTTATTGAGGTTTACCTTTTGAAAATTTAAAGCTTTCAGAAAATTATTTAATAAATGTTAACAATTATATTTTTCCATCCAAAATAAAAATATAAGCATAAAATCTAAATGATGTGATATTGATAGAGTATCAAAACGTCGAGATACCCACACAAAGCATTCCCATTTGCCTTCGCCTGTGTTTTTTCGGACCACAATATTGGGGATAAAGATGAGGATGAACTTGGAGCTTGAGCTGGAGTGCATTCATTCAAGATAACCCTGCTGATTGTGGCCAGAAAATGGGGATGGATGGAGAGCGTAATGGGGCCCACGCACAACTGACCATAATTGAGATGCCAAATGGATTCACGTGTGTGCCGAAATTTCCCCCTCCCCAAGAACCGAATTCATCTGCGTGAGCCATTCAGTTCCTAGGAATCCTTCGTTTATTCAAACATTTCCGGGAACCTACTTCCGCAATAGAATCACGTAGAAGACCAGGACCAATTATTGTCCTCTGCCCCGAAATTCCGTATGCAGGAGTTTCGGGGTGCGAATTAAAATCAAATTTGATTTCGAGAAGGAATCTCGTGGCGAATCATTAGCGATTGGTTTTTGCCCACATGCTTTTGGTTTCGAATATGTTTCGTCACAGTCTGATTCACATTGAGGGATTTCGGTGGCGAGCAATTAAAACTCTGGTTCAATAAATATCAATAAATTTCGCCAGCAATTTCCCTATTTTGGCATAAATAACAATAGTCGCCGGCGTGCGTTTGTCAGTTGAGTGGAGTTTCTAGACCAGCGAACAGGTCGAATATCGATAAAGTTTACCGGCAGTCAAATCAAGTGTGAACCAATTGCAAACAAGGTAAAGTACAAATAAACTCGCACCCAGATCGGGATATACCATGCGGCGTATGAGTGATGCAGCTGACTCATCCGCCCCGTAGACTCGTCGAACCGGTGAAAGTTTGCTCCCACCACAATTGCAGTCTACGCTTTGCGGTGCATGGCGAATTGATTGCCGCATATGCGGAAAAGAAAGTTCACAACCGGCTGCCAAACTCAAACAAACGTCAATGCCCCCTGCAAAGAGACCAACCCAACCCACCAGCTACCATCTACACTCGTTCATAATATTAAATAAATTATTTGCGAAGCAGGGGCAGCTTCAAGTATCCAAACGGCAAACAGCAATCGGCAAACGGCAACTAATCAGTCAGTCACTCAGTCAGTCAGGCCTAACTGTTGCCTTTTCGCACCACTCGACAAAGGCAAAAGGCAAGCAAAAACGTATTGAAACACAACCTGCGGAATGCACTAACTGATCGACAGATACCCTCGGAGTTAAATGACCCATCGAGCCTCTAGAAAATTAGCTTCTCAATAGTTTATTGATTCAACTACGGATTTTCCAGAGTGCTCATTTTACAATGCGTACATAGCACTTTACGTGAAAATTGACGGCGAATTTTGCATCTGTTTAACATTTTTTGTAAATAGTTATTTTAGTATTTTATGGGTTATAGCAAAGCAAAATGCTTTGCTAAAATATGAATGGAATGAATGGAAAGAGAACGCACTGTAATATTTTTTTTTTTTTGAAAATATTTAAATATTTTTTAAACT